GGGGTGGGGGGGTGGGGGGGCTTTGCATAGGCGGACGACCATTCAAATAATCCTGGATCAGCCCCTGCACAGGGTGCGTCAGCGTCCCTTTCTTAGTATTGTTGTTACACTGCAGGTATGGACACGGTGATATGGGCATAGCCCAACGTACTTAGACTGGGTTCCCATACTTAGATCAATCCATCTGGATCGACCTAACTCCCTGGGGGTTCATGGTAAATTGCTATCAGCTCAAGAGGCTTAAATGTCTGTCACGCCTACCGATTAAGCTTAGGGTAAAGATAATTACCCCTTAACAGCTTTTCTAGGTGTGACAGACATTTAAGCCAGTCAAGTTGACAGCAATTTAGTGAGACTCCCCAGGGAGATAGATCGATCCAAATATCTGTGGGAATGGTCTCTTGGTATAAATACCGCTGTGCCGCTTTTATAGCGATAACGCGTGCCAGATTGCCAGCGTAGAACTGATCGGACTGCAGTAAGAGGGAGGCAGTATGGCCACGTCAAGCTTTTGCAGAATACCATATGAACCACCGGCATGGGCTTCAAAACTGAAAAAGATACCATCTTCTCGCGTTAAGGTAGGTCCAAAAGCCCTGCGTTTAATACTATGAAGCTCATCACTTCATCAGTGAATCAACTCCTTTCCCCTACTTGTAGTGGTCTTGACTTATGCAGATAAGCTAATTCAGACACAAATCTACCGTTATATACAGATAGACGCTGCTGTATTAAATAGGTCAATACACTATAAACATGAATGGAGGCATAAATCAAGAATAGGAGTCGCTTAGCAGCACCGAGTCGCTGGCCAAGCAGCGGAAGAGCTACCCACAGTGACACATACATATTTAATAGAAGTATTATCTGGAAAGATGGATCTATGTTGCATAATGTAGATGGTTGAACGACATCACCATTTGGCCATAATAAGAAAATGGGCCACCGACACGGCTGATAGATTCCCCTATACATGCCTATACCCTCTAAACCGCAAGATTTGTGGAAAAAATCCATATCGCCGGAAACAAGTTTGCAGGCCACTCAGGCCCACGCTGATCTGTAACGTCACTTGCGAACAGACTACACTCTTGATTCAAATCTCAATTGTGTTTTATTTATTCCAAATGTGACAAGAATGGTAGTCCGCGAGGAACCGGTAGTCCATTCCCTACTACGTTCGTCCCATATAGGCCTGCCTTTAAGACTAACTCCAACCTGTACTAGTCATATGTGACACTGGACTTTTATCTAGGACTAACATTCCAGTCACATCGGTACGGAGTTTCCGAGTCTGGATGTAAATTATCCGAACTAACCATAGAGCACGATAATTTGATATAAGTCAAGAGTTATATACTCAACGCACAATTGAATAATTCAGGAATTTTTCACGGTTGTTAACGCTTATGTATCCTTTTTAATATCAGTTAGCTCACGCAGACACCCCGATTCATGAGTGGAAAGTCCCTGGAGTAAAGGCTCCGTTCACACTTCACGTAAAGCGAGACGACCTAACTGGCAGTACGCTTACCGGAAACAAGGTAAGTTCTCTGTCAGCATATTTTTAATGTGGATTTCACAATTCAAGGTTAAAAACGCACTGCTTCAACATATCTAGATTTATACCTTGCTTAAATTTATTGACCCAAACCTTGGTTGTTGCGATGGCAGACTGTCTCTACCTATGCACAGTACATATTTTTCTGCAGCCCTTTTGACGTTGACAACTATTTGAAGTTGGAGAGAGTTGAGCTGGGGAGATGTTTTCAAGGAATGATTCTGCATGTTGACATGTTCCTCCTTAGATCGCCGTGACAACAAGTTGTATGGTTACAGATTGTAGCATTTAGGCCCTGCTAGTTTTTTTCTTTTTTATTTCATTTTGGTTTCTTCAGGCATATTTCTTTATACAGAACGTATTGTTGTTTTTTTTTCAAGGTTCGAAAGTTAGAGTTTTTGTTGGCAGATGCTTTGGACAAGGGTTGCAAGCACATAATTACATGTGGTGGAATTCAGTCTAATCACTGTAGAGCCACAGCGGTGGCGTCAGCTCAGATGGGATTGAAGAGTCACCTAGTGCTTCGGTCAAAATTGAAGGTTAGTAATGCTAGAAGTGTTGAAGTGGTACGCAAAGTTGCTTCTAGATTAAAAAGGTTGTAAAAGAACGATGTCAGCGTGAAAGTCCTATTGTCTTGGCAATACGGTGATGAAGTGTTCAGGCTGACTTCAAAATATAGGTTAAAATATTATGCTAGTTGTTACATCTATTTGAAATAAAAGAAAGGGTGGAGAATATGTGGAATATGCTTGAACAAAAGTGATAGATGAGAAAGTAGTTACTGCAACACATATGTAACTTTATAAACCTACATGCATCTTCCATACATGTACCCCGTCGTCAGTGTCATTTTAGTAACTTTTACCAAGCGTCGGCTAGTGACTGTATCAATATCCAATACTTGATTAATCCAACACTCGCGATAAATTGAAATCTGTAGTATCTGAGTGCAATGTGGATGAATCCAGGTCCCTTGTTTGCTCACGTTTCTGATGCCACACGGGGAGCATAGCCACCCTGGATTTTAGAGATGTCAGAGGCATGCTGATAGCATGGCACAGGGGCAGATCCAGATATATTTTTTGGCAGTCTTCCAAATCATCTCTCTTGAGCCATCGTCCGTTTTTGCCGTCTTCCGACAAAAAAATTTAAATGCCCGTCAATGTAAACTTGAAAAAATTTAACCGTCTTCCAAAAGACCCAGAAGACGGCCTCCCGCCCCTTAGCAGGGTTGTAAGGCGGTGAGTTTCTAGTGACCTATAAAATTCAGGTTGATGATAGTGGGGAGGGGGGCAAATCTGGACTTATCCAGCTTGCAATGTTGACTTTTACAAATAAAAAAATAATAATAAATAAATAAATAAAAATACAATACCTATACCTACTTAAACCAGTGAATTAATGTGAATACAAAATTAGCACACCCTGATATCTCCTAAGGAATAAACTCTGAACACAACGTGTGTACACATAAAAAAGAAAGGTTAGTTACCATCTTAGAGTAGCGGAATGGTAACCTCTCTCACAGAACTAGCTCTTCATACCCTGGGCTGTCTTGCCCTTAATTATATATATATATATATATATATATATATATATATATATATATATTCTGTCTCCACGTGCTTTGTGTTGTTTATAAATATGTTTGGGTCTCAGAACACGTAGGCGAAACGCAAAACTGCTTTCTTTGTTTCTTTTCGTGCCATTCCCGTCAGATTGCTACTCTTGTTGCATTGCATCATAGTTTCCAGGTTTATACATAGACAGCTTGTAAAACACCGCGGTGAATTAATGATAGAACAGCTTGCCTAGTCTTTTATCATATCAGCACACACTTGCAGCATGTGGCTGCCTAAAATGTGAAGACGGCGAGCGGACGCTAGTACTCTGATACTCGATAAGTAGGGATGGAAAATTAGGCTACTGACAAGCATATTTTTATTCTAGAATTCTGAAGACGTTCCCTGCAATGGCAACCTGCTTCTTGACAGAATGTGTGGTGCCCAAATCTACATCGTGCCTTGGGAAGGTACTTACGAGTCTCATCTCAAACCAAGTATGGAAAATATTGCTAGAGGAATTAAGTAAGGAAAATAATTTCATTTAATTTATTTATTTATATAATTATTTTTATTTATTCCATAACTAAGTATTT